TTGTAAACCGATGCTATGAATAAATTCATGGGTATATATTTTTTTATTGATTTTATGGATTTTTATGTAATATTAATAAAATTAGTTTTGATGGTTATTTTAATTTAATAGTGTAATATGTAGTGTTTCCAATAGGGGGAGTGGGATGATAGATTTGGTGGAAGATGTTGTCCCTATATGCTTTATAAATTCCCCCAGTCTTATCTTATTTTATTCTATTATTAATTTTAATAATTTGGATTGCCATAATTAATTATTAAATTTGTAGTCCGTAGGTGGAGGATTACATTTGCACTGTCTTATAGGGGGGAGGTGTGAATAGGTGGCCGGCCCGTTGCTTCGTATCCTTCATTTAATGTTATGGTCACCGCAATAATGAATAATACCTGTGGACTCCGAGAAAATGGCCGCTCGGGTCCGCCCCCAATTTTGATTGGGTTGGGAATAGTATATATAGAATCCAGTCCTCTGTGGGCGTTAACCCTGAGGAAGTCACGTGTTATCGTGACGCAACGCGAGGAGGATTCTGGGAGCGCGGTGAGGTCATTTCCGGCGTGGCGGCCGTATTTGAAACCCCTGTATCTAAATACCCATGCAGGAGATTCATAGCATGGGGTATTGAAGGCTTGTGAGGAGACTAATTCAAATGTGAGTGGGCAATTTTACTATATATCTACTTTGCAAAATAAACAGGATTACACTGTGTGAGTCTTTTGTTTGTATATGAACCGAGGAGGAGATCGCTGATAGAGTGTAAGAGGCGGGGGAGGTCCTGGTGAGCTATCAAAAGGGTGTCCTGTTGTAAAGCGAGCTGACCCTGTGGGGTCTTGGCAAGGAGGTGAGGGGCCATCACAGCTAAAGTTTGGATTCACACAGTGTGGACACGTGTGACACATGCGTGAAGATTGCAAGTCTTTTTTGTTGCATTTGGACACTTTAATCTTACTTTGGACCTATTATTATTTATAACAGATGGTTGCAGTGATTTTGATTGTCACTAATTGCACTTTATTCTCATTTTGAAGTACACGGGTTGCACAATTTTTGTAAATGCACATATTTGTAAATGCACATTTTTGCACATAAGTTTAGTTCCTTGTGTCATTATTTAGAGCACTTTTTAGCTAGTTTGCACTTTATATTTATATTTAATTAGTTTAGGGAGAGCGCTGCACTTTATATTTATATGTATTCACTCATTTTGGTAAGGAGTTTTGTGTCAGCAGCTTGGTGAATAGGGCCCCATTCTTAGCGCAGGAAGTTCTCGCATTTAGATTCTCAAAAAGTCAAACATATTGTTTTTTTTTTCTCAAAATTGTCGGTCTTTTTTTTTATAGCGCAAAAAATAAAAAAAATGCACAGGTGATCAAATACCACCGAAAGAAAGCTCTATTTGTGGGAAAAAAGGACGTAGATTTCATTTGGGTGCAGCGTTGCATGACCGCACAATTGTCATTACAGTAACGCAGCGCCGTAACGCAAAAAATGGCCTGGCCAGGAAAGGGGGGTAAATCCTCTGGAGGGCAAGTGGTTAATGTCAATTCATTAAAAAAAAACACACACATTCGTTATTTATCATCTGGTGTTTGCTGGCAGTAGTTTTAGAAATGTATAAAATAACAATAAGGCTACGTTCACACTAACTTTGTCAGCAGGCGTCAGACAGGCGTTTGGGAAGCGGTTTTAATGCTTCTCAAATGCCTATGAAAATTCTGCACATGGCAGCACACAGTGCCGTTCACACTGAAGCGTTAGCGTCGCGGCAAAACTGACGCCTCATGTAGAGTTAGCCTCCCATTCAGTCTATGGTGCCTCTCTTCAAACTCCTGGGAGGCGTTTGCGACCTGGTTGCGAGGCATTTGCAGAGCGTTAATATCATTTAACTTCATTATAGGCATTTGTGGTGCGGTTTTAACACTTGGCAAACGCCTATCAACTGCCTCAAAACTGCGCATAGGGTGTTTGGGGAGCATTAGGAGTGTTTGTCAAGAGTTAGAAATAAAGTCAAGTGTGAACGAACCCTTAGAGGAACTCTGCGCTGGTCAGAAAGTGAAAAGTATACAATGTATCAATGTGAAAATGTTCTCTGAGCTCAGGAATGAAAATACATTGTAACATTTCATCAGGGGGAGATCAGTTTGTGAATGAAGGCACACTACAATGTTTTCATAGTTTCACATACTTGCTCTGTGCCTTCTGGTGCAATGTTAGCCTGCAAAAAACATTTGTGAAAAAACACCACCAAAAATAATGCAAAATTTAAGTGCTAAATATCACAAAACATAAATATTTAACGCATTCGGTAAATAGCACATGTTTTTTAGTGAATTGACTGCTTTTGAAATAAATACCACATGAGTTATTTTATCTCAAAAATCCACGCGGTATTCATCTCTCAGTGAATTGACCCCAATTGCTTCATGCTCACTGGTTTATTGTAAAAGCTGTTTCTCCTGACAGGGGAAAATTAGTGTTTAAAAAACTCACCTAAGCTGCACTTTTTAAAACCAGTTTATGTGAGATTAGCAGTGTTTGGGCATTTATTTATTTAATTGGCCAGAAATTTAATTTATTCTAGCCATTGAAACAAATAAATGCTGACGTGCTAAACGCACCTAGTGCTTAGTCGCATTTACATGCGTTTGGCGTTTTTATGCCCATAAGCTCCTCTCTGAATGTGATTCTTCTGCTTTTAGAAGGAGCTTTGACTGCCTCTAAACTCAGCAGCTCCTAAACACCTCTAAAAGCCTAGGTGTGCATGGACACATAGGCATTTACTGAGGTGCGTTTAGGGGCTTAGGCACAAAACGTGAGTTTAGGAGCAGCAGTGTATGAGGACTAACCCTAGGTTCACACCTAAGCGTTTTCTGTAGGGTTTTGCGTTTTGCAGAAATGCAGTACAGACCATTTAATATGGTTTCCAATGGGACATGTTCACGCCTCTGCGTTTTCACCTGGTACGTTTTTAGGAAAGGGTCAGGGACTTTTTTGAACGCAAATAGTTGCATTTTTGGTTCATAGACTTCAATTAAAATGCTGCAGAAAACTATGTATTGTGTTTTTGCTGCGTTTTTGCTGCTTTTTGCATTTTGCATTTTAAATCTGCCTAGCAACAAGAAAGTTTTTAAAAAAAATGCAAAATGCATCAAAAACGCGGGAAAACTGCAAGTGGAAAAATGCAATGTAAAATGCAATGCAGAAATGGCTCAAACGCAACCTGAATAGGTGTGAACCTAAAATAAGGCTCCATGCACACTAGTGTTTTTTAAAGCTCCTAGAAGCTATTATCAGCATTTTTTTTCTGCTCCTAGAAGTGTTATCCTCTGTGTTCACTCACGCTAATTTAGGCTGTTAGAGTTTTTTCAGCCTCAGCATCTAGGAGCAGAAAATAAAATGTTTTTGTAGAATTTTTTGGAGCTTTTTTCTAGCAGAAAAAAAAATGCTAAACACTCCTAAACGCTATTAAAACACTCCTAGCAGCATTTTTCTAGCTTTTTTTCTACATGTACTTTAAAAATGGTAATAAAATGCTAATGCTTCTAAAAAACACTATTACCAGCGTTTTTTTAGCTAAAAAAAAAAATGCTAGTGTGCATGGAGCCTAAGGCTAGGTTTACACCTATGCAGGTTGTGTTTGATATGTTACTGCAGTGCTTTTTGCTGTGCATATGACTGATCACTGTGGTAGCCAATGAGAGGCTATCACAGCGATCAGGTGACCCAGAATCAGGAGTTTCGGGTCCCGATTGTTAGAACAAGACCCGGGGCTCTCAGTGACACCCCAGTCTTTCTGGTGGGTAGAAAGACAGATACGCAAATTAGCGGCACCACGGAAAAAAAAAAAACAGTTCTGTGAGGCTGCTAATTTGTGTACGGTCGGCATCAAGGGGTTAAAGTTTCTTTCATAATAAAATGTATTTAAACCCAAAAAAAGAAGCTGTAGGGTAAACTTTCCCACAATCCTTGTAATGTGTTTCCTTTTTTTTATTGATGTATGTTGCTATAGTATGATGGCCATTAATCACATGCCCTCCTGAAGATTTACCCCGCTTCCTGACCAGGCCATTTCTTGCGTTACGGAGCTGCGTTACTTTAACTGACAATTGCGCGGTCATGCAACGCTGCATCCAAATGAAATTTACGTCCTTCTTTTCCCACAAATAGAGCTTTCTTTTGGTGGTATTTCATCACCTCTGCGTTTTTTATTTTTTGTGGTATAAAAAAAAGACCGACAATTTTGAGAAAAAAAACAATAGTTTTGACTTTTTGCTAATAAACATATCCAGTAAAAAAAAAAATCAAATTTCATCATAAACTTAGGCCAAAATGTATTCTGTTTCATGTCTTTGTTAAAAAAATTCCCAATACATGTAAATTAGTTGGTTTACGTGAAAGTTAGAGCGTTTTCAAATGGCGGTATAGATACTGGAATTTGTTTTTTTTTACTAGTAATGGCAGCATTCAACGACTTATAGTGGGACTGTGGCGGGCATTCTGACACTGGGGGGAACTGACTTGGTGTCACTGACATCCCCAGTGACACCAATACAGTGATCAGTGCTAATAAAAAGCACGGACACTGTACTAATGGCACTGGGCAGGAAGGGGTGTGTGTTTTTTTTTAGCTGCTGACTTTTAATAAACAGAAAAAGGGCTGGAACTCCACTTTAAGGATCAGTTCACCTTTCCTAACATGTCACATCCATATTCATGGTGTAATATGTAACATGTTACTGCTGCATCTGCCCCCGCACCCCCTGAGTGCCTGCTGTGGCAGCAGAGAGGGGATCTTCTCCCCGTGTCTGCTGCCACAATTCAAAAAGGTTTGTGGCAGTGCGGGGCACTCACTCATTCACAGTACGTCACCAGTGCAGAAAAAAAAAGTACTGACTGTACTAATGGCACTGGGCAGGAATGGGTTAACATGAGGGGCGATCAAAGGGTTAACTGTGTGCTGGGAGTGTTTTACTAAGGGGCAGTGTGTTGGTGCTTCACTGTAAGCACACTGCTTTGGATGGCTGTGCTGTACACAGCCATCCAGAGCAGTGTGGCTGAGCCGACAAGGAGGAGGACTGTTGATAAACAAAACAGCCCTCCCCGTTGGAGATCCTCAGTAATTACCAGGCGCCAGCTTAATCACCAGCCAGGACCGGGTGACTGACAGCCGTGGCTGCGAATGGCGGCGTGGGTAGGGCATGCTCGTGCGTGCCCCCTACTTAGAACTGCAAAATCGCATATATATGCATGATTTTGCATACCCCTGCCGCCCTGTAGCAGTATTTCTGCTATAGGGCAGTGAGGAAGCGGTTAATGGGACTACAGTGACTACATTTCCCGGCCTTCCCTGGACTGTAGCCGGCGGTGGAAGAGATTGTGAGGATGTGATGAAACGCGTCGGAACACGTGACGTATGACGTAATTACGTTTTACCGGAAGTGCGATTGCGGCCATCTTTGCTTAAGGAAAATGCGGTTTTCTCCAGAGAAGTGCTTGTTCATTTGCCATACAAGCTGAAAGTTGGAGTTTTTGATATAAGTGTACAAAATAAAGTATTATACCTTTATTATCAAGCCTCTAACTGCCTATTTGCCTTATGAGGGATTTGGATATATGCCCAAAGGACATGGATGTATGCCCAAAGGAAGTGTAAGAAATTTGGAGGTGCTATCATCCACCACTTTGAAAAGCAGATTTTTACCTCTATAGGGTAATTGTTCATTTGTTGTACTAAGTTGGAGTGATCACTTTTTGACACAAATTTTTTGGATTCACATTTGTTTGGTTGCATAATAGTAGTGGTTGCAGTGTTTTGAGTTCACTGTCACAAGTAATAAGATACACATTACACTTATTTTGAGCAATTTTATTTGTGCACATTTAGTAAATATATATATTTTTTTTCACGGTTTGAACACCTGTTAGGGAGGGTGCATGACACATAGTGCACAATTGTATGTAATTAAGGTAATACACTATTTGCAGTTTATATTTTTTTTTAGGTTTTCTACATTGGAGTATCATATTTGGAATTTCGTATACAATATCACAAGAAGAAGTTGTGAAGGTGGAGAGAAAGTGATCCGAATTGTTTGAAAGACATTTTGGGACACTATTTTTTACTTTACACATTGTATTTTTATTTATTTTGATTGTTATTGTACGGTTGTGTTGTAGGTTTATGTTTTACTTTATTTATGTAGATTCTGTTTGAAAAGGGATAATTTAGGGATAAAGAAAAAGAGTCGTTTGTTGGTTAATGGGGTGTACAATCCCATGCAGATTCCATTGATACCTGCCCATATACATACACTAATGCAGTCCATAGACGGGTCGAAAATTGGCCGATTTTTCTTTTAAAAAAACGAAAAATCGGTCATTCAAGCGGCCGACGTTACCAGCAACGGTAAAAAAAAAATCGGCCGATTAACATCCCGTCTACAGCCGGCAAAAAGTGTCCCTGCAGAGAGCTCCACTATTTCTTTGACAGTTCCTTGACATTTATAGCGGTTGCAACAATGTATCTATTTGTATCCATTTAGGATACAGATGTTTTTATTCTGAAACAAATAGATACAATGTTGCAATCGCTATAAATGTCAAGGAACTGTCAAAGAAATAGCGGAGCTCTCTGCAGGGACACTTTTTGCCGGACTGGAATTCCTCTTCTTCTTCATCCTCTTCTTCTTCTTCTTCCTCTTCTTCTTCATCCTCTTCTTCATCCTCTTCTTCACCTTCTTCATCCTCTTCTTCATCTTCCTCTTCTTCTTCTTCATCCTTCTTCACCTTCTTCATCCTTTCTTCATCTTCCTCTTCTTCTTTCTTCATCTTCTTCTTCATCCTCTTCTTCATCTTCTTCTTCATCCTCTTCTTCATCTTCCTCTCATCCTCTTCTTCATCTTCCTCGTCATCCTCTTCTTCATCTTCCTCTTCATCCTCTTCTTCATCTTCCTCTTCATCCTCTTCTTCTTCATCTTCTTCTTCTTCATCATCCTCTTCTGCATCCTCTTCTTCTTCTTCCTCTTCATCCTCTTCTTCCTCTTCTTCTTTTTGTCTTCCTCTTGCAGGTCACTGCTCATGCACAGATTTTTTTATCGGTAAAAGATCGGCCGATTTGCACATCATTGCCGCGAAAATCAGCCGATCGGCAAAATCGGCCGATTTTTTTCCAACTTTACCGATAAAAAAAATCTGACAAAATACCGAAAAACGGCCGAACATTTAGCCCACTAACGATCCGAAAAATTGGCCAATTTTCGACCCATCTATGGCCTGCATAAGTTCCCATATGACAACACGTGAGTTCTTGATCTGCCTTTTAGCTTGGAGCATGTGCAGTTCCAATGTGTTTAGTTGTTGCGCAGGTTTGTTCACTTACACACAGGCATGCAAAATAATGTGCCGTTTTTCCTGCTCCTTTCTGTTTTATTAAGTAAATCAAGCTTAGCAGCTTCAGCCATTATGGGTGTGCATTGTTTCACGGTAAATCTCTTGGTGCATCGTGTTTTTTCTTTATCTGCAGCCAGACTTCAGCAGTAAACGAAAGTGAAACTAGAGTCACCGTGGCTAGGAAATGAAACTTAACTCACCCAAGCCATCTCTGAATGTAATTCCACATACATCAAAGTCCTGGGCTAAGCAAAGGTATTAATGAAAATCAGCCTTCAGGAAAATATGGGCTTTGTTGAAATCAACATACAGTACACAAACACCAACTAAACAAAAAAAAAAGTGCATGTTGCTTGATATTGCATTAACACCTTTCAGATCAGCTCTTTCATTTACTCCTCTAATCATACCTGTTACAATCTGACTGTATAATCAACTTTTCAGGTCTACCAAAACCACATAATATGAAGAACTGTATCAATTTGTATCCAGCTGCACTACATAGTTATTAGTAGAGCTAAAGGAGAATGTACAGATTGTAACGTGTGATGAGCTTGAACGTATTTTGCAGATGCATTTTTTATAAGCATTTCGATACTGATGCTGATACTTTTTAATAGCAAATTCGTTTCTTTGCAACATCTGGAAAAACCTCTAATGCAATCAGTATGTTGTTAATATTCGTGCTTACCCAGACTGCTTCCAGCAGACTTCCTGCCCAGCTGCCCACAGAGGTTTTGACCACAGGAGACAATGGTACCATCCTGCAGGAGAAACAGGCTGTGCGCCTCGCCACATGTCACCTTCTGCACCCCTGCATAGCCACCAAATCCATCATTCTCTGTGAAGGGAATCTTTTCATGATCTTGGCCAGCAAGTCCCAGCTGGCCAAATCTGTTGTTTCCCCCAGCAATACATGAGTTATATCCGGACTGCTGTGATGTATGAGAAGCTTGTCTAGGTACTGATAGAGGAGTGTATGTGTAACTCTACCAGCTGGTTTCCAGACTCCACCTCATATCAGGGCATAGTTCACAGCTTACTTTATGAAAATACCTGCTCTGTGGCTATAGGACGAACAAAAGATGGAACAACAGGGAGAGGAAAGAAGTGTAATGACATCATTGCTTTCATGATTTTAAAATGAATTTGTTTTTTCGCTGTAGGTTTTCTCAGTTTTTTTTTTTTTTTTTTTTTTTTTGCTATGCATTTTGTGCTCTACCTGTTTTTTTTCTTTGCATATTTGTACTTTATTGAACTGGAAAGTTTCACTGTAAGCCTGGGTTCACACTGATGCGGTGTGGCACATCGCAAGTGATTCGCACAAGAACCGCACCTCATTCCTGTGCAAATCACATGCTATTTCTGTGCGGTGCAATTTGAGCCCTACATTTTCAAATCGCACCGCATCTGCACCAAAAAAGTGCAGGACCGTTTTTTACTCCACATCAAAATTAAATCACATGGGTGTTCACATCCATGCGATATGATTCTGCACATCGCACTGCATTTTGCAAACTGATTTTGGGGTGTCGTTAACTTAACCACTTCCAGACCGGACACTTTTACCCACTTCCTGACCAGGGCAATTTTCAGCTTTCAGTGCTATCACACTTTGAATGACAATTGCGCGGTCATGCAACACTGTACCCAAATGAATTTTTTACCATTTTTTTTGAGACAGATAAAGCTTTATTTTGGTGGTATTTATTTACCACTGGGATTTTTATTTTTTTTGCTATGTAAATGAAAAAGTCCAAAAATGTTGAAAAAAAGTTTTTTTTTATAAAATTTTGCAAATAAATAATATTTCATCTTAAATCTTGGCCAAACTTTATTCCGTTATCTTTTTAGTAAAAAAAATCCAAATTAGTTTATAGCCAAAAATTATAATTTTTAAACTTTTTTTTACATTTTTATTTTTTTTTTATATATTATTATTTTTTATTTGTATTTTTTTTTTTTACATACTGTCACCCTAGCAGTACAGTGTCACCATGGTGACACTGTACTACTTGTGGGGGGTGATGAAGATTTTTTTTTTTTTTACACTGATTGCTTTTACACCCATATAGGATGTAAAAGCAATCATTTCTCTTTCTCTCTGTCTGCATTCTTGCACTCATTGAGAAGTACTCAGTGAGCTGTGATTGGTCACAGCTTGTCACATGGTACAAGGCTGTTGTGAATAGCCTTGTACCATGTGACCTCTGTGATCATTCACAGATTTCACACGTAGTAAGCAATGATGTCACAAGTGACATCTTGCTTACTACTTTGCATGTGATCACTGATTGGCCAATCAGTGATCACATGATCGGGACCTCGTACAGAGGTCCCGTCCAACGATCGGTATTTCACTGTGTCCGGAGGACACAGCGGGCACCGGATCGCGGTGCTGCGCGCTCCCAGGGAGCATGCACAAGCAGGGTGCGGGGGGGTTGTTTATAAAAACGGCCACCCGACCCTGCAGTGCCACCGTACGGCCGTTTATATGCAACGGCCGGTCAGGAAGTGGTTAAAATACACGCCCACAATGGTTTGTATGAACGGGGTGTGATTATAATGCAGTGCAGAAATCACACAGAAACCGGTGCAAATTCTGCACTGCATCAGTGTGAACTCAGAGTAAAAGTTAGGAAAATCTTGAATGAATTGTAAACTGACTTGACAACTGCTTAGGTTAATCAGACGCTGTGTACTTTCTGATAGCATCAAGTGCTGATTATGAATATGCTCTGACTCAGTGAGGCTAGGTTCACGCCTA